ATCTGAATGAATGAAATAATCTTATTAAATACTTTTTTCTTTACATAGTTGAATGTGCTGACAACAAAATCACACAAAAATTATCAATGGAAATCAAATTTATCAACCCATGGAGGTCTGGATTTGGAGTCACCCTCAAAATTAAAAGTGGAAAACCACACTAAAGGCTGATCCAACTTTGATGTAATGTCCTTAAAACAAGTCAAAATGAGGCTCAGTAGTGTGTGTGGCCTCCACGTGCCTGTATGACCTCCCTACAACGCCTGGGCATGCTCCTGATGAGGTGGCGGATGGTCTCCTGAGGGATCTCCTCCCAGACCTGGACTAAAGCATCCGCCAACTCCTGGACAGTCTGTGGTACAACGTGGCGTTGGTGGATGGAGCGAGACATGATGTCCCAGATGTGCTCAATTGGATTCAGGTCTGGGGAACGGGCGGGCCAGTCCATAGCATCAATGCCTTCCTCTTGCAGGAACTGCTGACACACTCCAGCCACATGAGGTCTAGCATTGTCTTGCATTAGGAGGAACCCAGGGCCAACCCCACCAGCATATGGTCTCACAAGGGGTCTGAGGATCTCATCTCGGTACCTAATGGCAGTCAGGCTACCTCTGGCGAGCACATGGAGGGCTGTGCGGCCCCCCAAAGAAATGCCACCCCACACCATGACTGATCCACCGCCAAACCGGTCATGCTGGAGGATGTTGCAGGCAGCAGAACGTTCTCCACGGCGTCTCCAGACTCTGTCACGTCTGTCACGTGCTCAGTGTGAACCTGCTTTCATCTGTGAAGAGCACAGGGCGCCAGTGGCGAATTTGCCAATCTTGGTGTTCTCTGGCAAATGCCAAACGTCCTGCACGGTGTTGGGCTGTAAGCACAACCCCCACCTGTGGACGTCGGGCCCTCATACCACCCTCATGGAGTCTGTTTCTGACCGTGGGGGTTGTGGCCTGCTGGAGGTCATTTTGCAGGGCTCTGGCAGTGCTCCTCCTGCTCCTCCTTGCACAAAGGCGGAGGTAGCAGTCCTGCTGCTGGGTTGTTGCCCTCCTACGGCCTCCTCCACGTCTCCTGATGTACTGGCCTGTCTCCTGGTAGCGCCTCCATGCTCTGGACACTACGCTGACAGACACAGCAAACCTTCTTGCCACAGCTCGCATTGATGTGCCATCCTGGATGAGCTGCACTACCTGAGCCACTTGTGTGGGTTGTAGACTCCGTCTCATGCTACCACTAGAGTGAAAGCACCGCCAGCATTCAAAAATGACCAAAACATCAGCCAGGAAGCATAGGAACTGAGAAGTGGTCTGTGGTCACCACCTGCAAACCAGTCCTTTATTGGGGGTGTCTTGCTAATTGCCTATAATTTCCACCTGTTGTCTATTCCATTTGCACAACAGCATGTGAAATGTATTGTCAATCAGTGTTGCTTCCTAAGTGGACAGTTTGATTTCACAGAAGTGTGATTGACTTGGAGTTACATTGTGTGGTTTAAGTGTTCCCTTTATTTTTTTGAGCAGTGTATATAGAATGCCAGTTTCAGTGAGAAGCATAGCAACATCAAGGGAACTTTGTAACAGCTAATTTTGTTTTTTGATCGTTTCAGTGCATGCATTCAACAAGCTTTGGATGAAGGACTGCCACAGGGCCGCCATCTCCAATGTTCACTCAAAAAGGCAATAGTTCTGAACTGGGTTCAATTTAGTTTTTGTTGTTTTAATTATTTAATGTTAATTATCTTTTAAACGTCCATTGGTTGAAAGATATTGCTCAGTTATCACTTGGCTCATGTAAATTCTGTATATGCCCGTTTAAACATCCTAAGGTCAACATCCCCATAGTGTTCACATTTGTGACTAGTTTCAGGAAACTAGGTGTATGTCGCATGTCACTACTTCACATGAGCAGCACTTGAACGTAAACATGTATTTTTTATTTTTTTATATATTCCATCCATAAATACGAATACAATTGTTAGATTACGAGCCTAGTTGGTTTAGCCATTGGAAAAAGACAGGAACCTTCCCACTAGCCATGATTGGCAGAGATAATGTGTGGGCTGGACATGCCGGAAGATGAGTTTGGATTGGTCTGCCATGTAGCACGCTTCTGTCTACAACGTGAGCTGTTCAGTATGTGTTGACAGTCCTTTCTACCATGCCGTTTTTTAAATATATAACGTTAGCCATCGAGAACTACAAAAGTTTTGCTACTTTTCTCAACAACATTGATGCCCTGAAATTAGCAGGCTTTCGACAGATCAGTAGGAAAAAGTGATAGCTACTTTCTGCACACGCCACGGTCAGTGTGAACCGGAGTGACTTGACACAAAGCTGGCCAAACAAGATGTAGCTACAAACAAAACAGAGTTAATTGGTTCCAGTCTGCCGTGAAGCGTTCATGTATAAGGGTAAGAGTCTAGCTACATTCTCCAGATATAAGTTTCAAATTGTCAGAAAGTCATTTTTATTGCAAGTTAAAGCATACTGTTAGCTAGCAAACGTTAGCTTGCTGGCTCGCTAGCTAACGTAACGTGTATGATCTGTGTAGTAATATTATTTGAATCAGAAAACCATTTGCATTGCTAGTTATAGCCGAATGTTAGCTAGTTAACATTGAACCTAGTTTGTTAGCTTTAGCTACCTGAAGATTCATACTACAGCTCTGGATAAGAGCGTCTGCTAAATGACGTAAATGTAAATGTAAATGTATGACAATGTTTGTATTGGTAGTAGTATGAGTTGGGGTTATGCCGGTTCATTGTTTAGCTAGCTAGCTAGCTAGCTACATGTCTAAACAAAAGACTCCACTTCGGCCAGATTATTACATGACCCATCAAATTAGCAGGTGTGTCTGGGGGTGATTACGGCCATCAATTGTATTTCATGAACATGTGTACATGTCTAGACAATAGTGACCAATCCATTTAGCTAGATATGGGTGAGGGGTGGTTATAGCATTTCCTTCACAGGACCCATCAATTTAGACAAGTGTGTCGGGTAAGCGTAATCTAATAACGATAAAATATTTTTACCTGGACACTTTGTTTTTGCTATTATGCAAGTACTATCACTGTACCGTTTACACCTGCTGTATCCTGTGCATGTGACAAATAAACTTAGATTTTATTTGATATAGCATGTGTTTACCACATGGCCTCATGTGAATCCTTAAAGAGATAGGTGGGACTAAGGCTTAAGAGGGTGTGAACAATGCTGAATGGATGTAGACAAAGAAGAGCTCTCCAGTAGGTGTACCAAAACATTCAAGGGCCATTTTCTCAAAAGTGAAGTTACATGTCCCCCCCACATTCTGAAATTGCATTTTTGTCCCCCCCAGGTTTATCATTGGAATGTGATACAAAAGGGGCAAACGTGTGCTTTAGGACCATGCGGACACCTCCGAGCGGTCGGGTAGGCTGTTTGGAGTGTTTATCCAACTGGAGAAAAAATATATAAATAATAATGTCCCCCCCACTTCTAAAACCAAAGTTGCGCCCGTGTAGATACATTTCAACTAACTCACAGTAACCAAAAACCTGATCTAATTTGCATATTCGCACTGAGTTTGCAGAAAACAGTATGTTCGCCACAAGTTTCTCAGAATTGTTTGCCAGAAGTTCACAGGTCGCCGCAAATTTGCCACAAAAATAATTTGCATGTGAAGATATGTGCTTGCAGCAAATTGCCCAAAGGTTTGCCACAACTGGTTGCCAGAAGCCTGTTTTTTTCGGTAAGGGGTATCGGACCCGAAGTATCGTGAGGTCCCTGGGAATTCCCAGCCCTCACTGATTGATGTTAATTCTATCACATGATGAGATCCTTGTGAGATGTAATGCCAAATTAGTCTAACCACTGTAAAAAGTGAAGACAAATTACACAGAATGAAGGGCTGGCAGCCATTCAGCACCGACTTGGAATGACACCCACAGTCAGCATGTGTCCTCACAAGCACACAGTGTGGTTGTGACCAACTACAAGGACTGTCTGATTCTGATACTATTTTCTGACTCGAACAAGGGACATTAGTGTAGTAATAGTCCAGAAGTCATCCGAGCTTAATTTGAGTATTTCCACTTATTCATTTGCTTAGCAAGGATGTCAGAGGCTTGACAGTTGTTGAAGCCCCATCCAGGAACTTATATTGTGCCTGTACTGCTGTCCCGTCGATAGGCACTCACTGCTGACAGGTCCTGAAAAGTCTATTGCAACGTCTATTGAATGACTGACAGTGATCATTTCCAAGCAGAGAACTTGAAGGTAAACATAACATGGGTTCCATTCCATTCATACTCTTATTTACACAGTCATACTCCTGAGAAATGGTACCATTATCAATGCTGGTTTCATTTCTTTACAGTCAGCAGTATTAATTATGCAAGGTGACTAACATGAAGAAAATCTCTCGTTGCTCTTCTTCCACTAGCTAAAACGTCTGTTGGCATGCGAGGCCATGCAACAATCAGCCTTGCACTACTAGCTTGCGAGCAGACGTATCCAGCACAAAAATACATAGTGGGCTGTTACAAATAATGAATATGATGCAAATTATCTAGCTAGTCCACGTAGCTAGCCAGTCCAAGTCAAAGCAGAGATGGTTAACTAACGTTAGTCAAGCTAGCAATCTATCTTACCTGGACAAATGTTTCAAGATTTGCTTTTTGATTATTCCTGCCATTGCGGTGTTGGGGAGAATAAGATAGCTAGCTAAGTCGTTTATTTGTAGCTAGCTTATAAGCATCTTCGCTTCACATTCCACGCCCTCTTCAGTGAAATGCCCAACTGGCTGCCTTCTCTCATTCATTACGATTGCACAGTCATTTCTGTATAAATGCATTTTCCCATAAGACATAGCGAGCAAAAAAAACATGCTGGCTGGGTTGAAGTGCCTGGGTCACAAATATTGCATTCTAGCGCCTCCTGCTGAATTTATAACGAAGAGCTAGGTATACAAAATGACAGCAGTGTTGTCCAGAGATGAAAACATTAACGACCACACAGAGAGAACTTTGCTTTTTCGTTTAATAGACCGCAATACAATAAATTCAAAGCCAATAGTAACAGCTCATAAAATTGTAAAAAAGCAACTGCTGACAAAATGTGTCATTGACTGGTACTGCCAACTGAAAATAAAAACAAAATAAAATGGGAGACCTTATAATACACCTCTAGGTGAATGATAAAACACATTCAACAACCTTTTCATAAATTCCCGTTTTGTCTTTGGACGTTCCAAGACACCAAAATAACAATGATGAGCAGGGAAATGAGAATAAGCAGAGGGAACATTATAAAATCTGTAGCATAATAAAAATGAAATCCATCCAGGGAAAATGGATAGGAGTACAGCAAAGGCAAGATAACCAAAACAGTATTATGTAAAAAGAAGTCCAAGAAACAGTTGTAGAGTGGGGAGGGATTTGCCAAAAGGTTAGTTCCACAGGATCAGTAAAGCTCCTCACCTTCAAATCTACTTAGTAATAGTAGTAGGACGCAAAGTTACCAATAATTATACGATCAAATAGCTACATGTGAGCGACTGTGGCACTTGTCAGCGTCTTCATTCAATATTTGCGACCACCTTATTCAACCATAGATTACCCTAATCAAACCGATTTTAGGGGAGAAGTGAGAAGAAAAGATTTACTAATCATGTAGAACAAACCCATAGTGTGTGTTTGAGGGAGTCGGGAGAGTTTATCGGTCTGGCCGTGCCATCATTGGCCTCATCATCATTGGGTGACCGGGAGGTCGCATCATGTGATGTCCAGGCATCATCTGCATTCGGCCACCCATTGGAGGTCGCATACCTGAGAATGTAGAAACGAAAGCGTTTACAGGTGGTGGTTTCAATAATTTTCATTTTTTCAGATTATAGTATTTAGTTTAAGATAGTGGTATGTTTCCGCAACAATATTGGCAAACTGAAGCATACAGACTCAAACAAGTGAAGAGTATGTATATCACAGAAAAAAAGAGTGAGGTTATCCTACCTGGTCCACCCATCATTCCAGGTGGGGGTGGTCCCATTCCGCCCATCATGGGCATCATTGGAGGACCACCCATCTGGGGTGTTGGTAGCATCCCTGGACGTGGGGGGCCATCTATTGGTGACACATTAACAACAATAACCACCAGGAAACTCAGACCATTAGTAGCTAAATATATTACAACTAATTTTTGTAAATTAGTTGTAAGATTTGCTTTCCAAGAGAGGAATTTTGGTTGCTCTTGGATGTGATCGTTGCATCCTAACAAATGTATACTGAACAAAAATAAGCGCAACATGCAACAATTTCAAAGATTTTACTGAGTTACAGTTGATAAGGAAATCAGTGAATTGAAATAAACTCATTAGGCCCTAATCTATGGATTTCACGACAGGGCAAGGGCGCAGCCATGGGTGGGCTGGCCCAGTCAATCAAAATGAGTATCCCCCACGAAAGGGCTTCATTACAGAAGCGAAATACTGCGCAGCACCCCCACCTCAGACAATGTGGAGGTCCTGGGCTGCCGTGGTTACACGTGGTCTGCGGTTGCGAGGCCGATTGGACGTACTGCCAAATTCTCTAAAACGACGTTGGAGGCAGCTTATGGTAGAGAAATGAATATTCAAGTCTCTGGCAACAGCTCTGGTGGACATTCTTGAGTCAGCATGCTAATTGCACGCTCCCTCAAAACTTGAGACATTGTGGCATTGTGTTGTATGACAAAACTGCACATTTTAGAGTGGCCTTTTGTCCCCAGCACAAGGTGCACCTGTGTAATGATAATGCTGTTTAATCAGCTTCCTGATATGCCACACCTGTCAGGTGGATGTCTTATCTTGGCAAAGGAAAAATGCTCACTAACAGGAATGTAAACAAATGTGCACAAAATTTGAGAAGCTTTTTGTGCATGTGGAAAATTTCTGGGATCTTTTATTTCAGCTCATGAAACATGTGACCAACACTTTACATGTTGCGTTTATATTTTTGTTCAGTATACATGGCGCTAGTGCACTTACTGAGGTTTGGTGGAGGGATCATGGCACCCCCTGGAGGTGGGGCTCCTGGGAATGGTGTTGGGGGCATCTTCCCTTGTTGGAAGGCAGCGGCTAAGAGAAACACAATGACAAAGTTAGAGCTCCTAACATATTAGCCTTCAGGCCCCGTTTACCTAGGACGGTATTGGCTTAACACGTCAAGGTAATAAGGACAGGTCTAAGTCCTTTTTTGTGTGTTACTCACTTGTTTTGTCAATGAGGCTCTGTGCTTGTTCTTCCATCCATTTCTGGTAATAGTCTTTTACATTTTCTTTGTGTTTGCGGCCACTGCAGTGCGTTTTCCTCACAGAGGGCTACCAAACACAGAACATTCATCAATGTTGACCTACATTCCTTACATACAATAGGGCTATAGAAAAAAAAAAATAAAAATCATACCACATTCAACTTCAAGACAGAATCAACCACATGCAATCAGGAAACACTTCTACTAGCAATGTTGTGCAGACTTACCGAGTCATGAGTAAGGTAGGTGTCGCAGTAATCACAATAAAACCTGATGATAAACAGACATATTGAGCGTTAGATCAACTTGATCTGTGTAGGCAGAACTAGAGAGTATACAAACATCAATGCATCTGGGTAGAATAGTCAGACTAAATGTATCAGCGCCCCATAATGGAACTCAATCAATCTGGGAACAAAACAGACATGCTATGAATGATGCTACTGCTGCTGGCTGATGGTTAACACTTCCTTCCCAGCCAACAGAGGGTTTCCTATGGGAGAATGCTATTCATTGACTACAGCTCAGCGTTCAACACCATAGTGCCCTCAAAGCTCATCACTAAGCTAAGGACCCTGGGACTAAACACCTCCCTCTGCAACTGGATCCTGGACTTCCTGACGGGCCGCTCCCAGGTGGTAAGGGTAGGTAACAACACATCTGCCACACTGATCCTAAACACGGGGGCCCCTCAGGGGTGAGTGCTCAGTCCCCTCTTTACTCCCTGTTCACTGATGACTGCATGGCCAGGCACGACTAACACAATCATTAAGTTTGCCGACGACACAACAGTGGTAGGCCTGATCACCGACAACACAGCCTATAGGGAGGTCGTCAGAGACCTGGCCGTGTGGTGCCAGGATAACAACCTCTCCCTCAACGTGATCAAGACAAAGGAGATGATTGTGGACTACACGAAAAGAAGGACCGAGCATGCCCCCATTCTCATCGACGGGGCTGTAGTGGAGCAGGTTGAGAGCTTCAAGTTCCTTGGTGTCCACATCACCAACAAACTAACATGGTCCAAACACACCAAGACAGTCGAGGAGGGCATGACAAAGCCTAATCCCCCTCAGGAGACTGAAAAGATTTGGCATGGGTCCTCAGATCCTCAAAAAGTTATACATCCTGACTGGTTGCATCACTGCCTGGTATGGCAACTGCTCAGCCTCCGACCACAAGGCACTACAGAGGGTATTGTGTCCGGCCCAGTACATCACTGGGGACAAGCTTCCTGCCATCCAGGACCTCTATACCAGGCGGTGTCAGAGGAAGGCCCTAAAAATTGTCAGACTCCAGCCTCCCTAGTCAAACTGTTCTCTCTGCTACCGCACGGCAAGTGGTACCGGAGTGCCAAGTCTAGGTCCAAAATGCTTCTTAACAGCTTCTACCCCCAAGCCATAAGACTCCTGAACAGCTAATCAAATGGCTACCCAGACTATTTGCATTGTTCCCCCCCACCCCCTCTTTTACACTGCTGTTACTGTTTATTATCTATGCATAGTCACTTTAACTCTACCTACATGTACATATTACCTCAATTACCTCGACTAACCTGTGCCCCCGCACATTGACTCCGTACCAGTACCCCCTGTATATTTAAATTTTTGTCATTTAGCAGACGCTCTTATCCAGAGCGACTTACAGTTAGTGAGTGCATACATTTTCATACTGGCCCCCCGTGGGAAACAAACCCACAACCCTGGCGTTGCAAGCACCATGCTCTACCAACTGAGCTACACTACTGTTATTTTACTGCAGCTCTTTATTTTTCATTTTTAGTTATCCATTCTTTACTTAATATTCTTACAACTACATTGTTGGTTAAGGGCTTGTAAGCATTTCACTGTAAGGTCTACCTACACCTGTTGTATTCGGCTCATGTGACAAATAACATTTGATTTGATTTTCACTAGTTACCACAGCCAAAGTCAAAATTGGCTATATCGTAAAAACTAAAACACGCTTTTTGGTTTTAATAATAAAATAACATGCCATTTAGCAGACGCTTTTATCCAATGCGACTTAGTCATGTGTGCATACATTTTTACGTATGGGTGGTCCCGGGGATCGAACCCACTACCCTGGCGTTACAAGCGCCATGCTCTACCAATTGAGTTAGAGGACCAGTTTTGTTCTAAGGTTAGGCATAAGATTAGCAGTGTGGTTAACATTACGTTTAAAATCACATTGTAAGAAGAGATCACTCTAGTATCCCTGCACATTGTAAATATGGTAATTGTTGGGTTTAGTGCTTGAAAAAAGGCATTTCGCCGTACTTCTGCACGTGACATTAACTTGAAAACTTGAAATTGTAGAAATAGGCGGGGTCTGTGACTTTGTGGCTGTGGTAACTAATGACGACTCCAACAAAGGTCGCTGAAATCTCTAGCTGAGGCTGGTTAAATTAGCTAGCCAACTAACTTCGATTAAATCTACATGTTCAGTCTTCATTAAGGCCAAATACCTTCAAAAGAGAATACATATTCTACTGAGAGACAAAAGATAAATACTTACTTCGGCATTTTGAGCAGCCTTGCTAACAACCACTGAGCAATATGTTAAAAACGTCACTTTACCGGAAGCCTAAGTAAACGACGACTCTTTTCAAGGAAAGAGGAGGTGCGTCATAATGAGGGGCCTCGTAATAACTGCAGCGCCACCACCCCCACTACAGGTGTTGCAAATAATGCAAACTATACCAGCAGGGACTGACTGAATCAACAATGTTTTATACATTGTATTACACATTACTGTATTGGCCATTTGGGATTATCTTGTGAATGCTGCGTGCATTTGTAATAAATCATTTTCCAGTGCAAAACAATCCTGAAATCTACAATATAGGCGGGTGGGTTAGTAAATTCACTCTGGCAATCTTTTCAGATATCAGAGGACTCTGGATTGAAGGTACCAGAGCGCAAAAACAATTGCAGAATTTCTGAACGACCTTGAACCCGGTTGTTATGAAATGTGTAAGTAAACATCGGCAAAAAAATGGAAATAAATTGGTGCCAGTTACACAGTTAGTCATTAACCCTCGCAATAACATGAAAACCATATAACCAGCTCTGATAGGGCAAGTACAATGGCCTAGACAGCTGGCTTCTGTCCTCCTCTGGGTACATTGACTTCAATACAAAACCTAGGAGGCTGAAGGTTCTCACTCCCTTCCATAGACTTTCACAGTAATTATGACAACTTCCGGAGGACGTCCTCCAACCTATCAAAGCTCTTGCAGCATGAACTGACATGTTGTCAAATCAAAGAATCAGATAATTAATCTAGTACTGAAAGCATAAGCTACAGCTAGCTAGCACCGCAGTGCATAACATTTGGTGAGTAGTTCTCTCAAAGAGAGAGAAAGACAATAGTTGAACAGTTTCAAACAAACTAATTTATAAAAAATGAAGGAGAAGCAAGAGAGATAGAGGTGTTCGTCTTTTTTTCAGTTTCACTTACTTAGCTAGCAAATGCAGCTAGCTAGTTTAGCCTACTCAAACACCCTGCTCAAACAGAGAGATGCTATGTTAGCTAGCTGGCTATGACTATCCAACACAACACTGGAACTCTTCCAAGTCAAGGTAAGCATTTGGTTTTACTAATTTATTGCCACCAAGGCCTGCTGGTGTAACTGCTAAACTGCTTACTGACTATACCAGTGGCGATCAGTGCCGTTTAAGATGAGGGAGGACGATTTATTTTCATGAGCATGGCCTTATTTCTATTACAGCATATTGGATGACTCTCATTCATATTCCATTCACCCAGTTCAATGTAACAGCGATAGGTTTAGGCTACTACATGATACTCACATTTTCCCTATACCCATCATGAAGTTGCTACAACCTAGCCTATGAATGAAAGTTTACAACTTAGGTGCACACAGGTCGAGAGACAAATTTGAAGTGACAGACAGACAGTGACATTCAATACCGCCTTGCGCACTCTTGCCTGCATCTAGCTGATATAGTGTGTAATCATTAGTCCAACAGATGCAAACAAGAGTTTCTAATGAATACACCCCTGATCACGAGTAAACACAGTTCACTCACATAACAGCCACGTTGTATTCCTTCTCTTCCCTTTGCTTGTGGACTTCAATGCACAACATATCAGCTGTATGTGACCAGCCGAAAAAATCTTTCCAAGCCAAACCGCTACACACAGCCTACATCGTTGTCACCATTATAGCTAAAGTAACGTCATAGTCAGCGTTGCTTATAGAACTAACACGTTAGTAAACCCTCTACAATCATGCAGTATATTTAGCGTACAGTCAGTAAGCGGTTACACCGGCGGGCCCCGGTGACAATAAATTAGTAATACCAAAAGCTTACCTTGACTTGGAAGAGTTCCAGTGTTACGTTGGAAAGTCATAGCCAGCTAGCTAACATAGCATCCCTCTGTTTGAGGAGGGTGTTTCAGTAGGCTACACTAGCTAGCTGCATTTGCTAGCTAAGTAAGTGTAACTGAAAGTGACAAAAAATGACAAAGTCTCTCTCTCTCTCTCTATTTCTCTCTTGCTTCTCCTTCATTTTGGAAGAAATTAATTTGTTCAAAACTGTTCAACTATTGTCATGTAACTCTGTGTTGTTGTTGTTTTTATCGCACTGCTTTGCTTTATCTTGGCCAGGTCGCAGTTGTAAATGAGAACTTGTTCTCAACTGGACTACCTGGTTAAATAAAGGTGAAATAAATAAAAATTAATAAAATTCTCTCTCTTTGAGTCAACTACTCACCACATTTATAACCGGCAGTGCTAGCTAGCTGTAGCTTATGCTTTCAGTACTAGATTCATTCTCTTATTCTTTGATTGGGTGGGCTACATGTCAGTTCATGTTGCAAGAGCTCTGCTAGGCTGGAGGACGTCCTCCGGAAGTTGTCATAATTACTGAGTAAGTCTATGGAAGGGGGTGAGAACCATGAGCCTCCTAGGTTTTGTATTGAAGTCAATGTACCCAGAGGAGGACGGAAGCTAGCTGTCCTTCGGCTACACCATGGTGTTACCCTACAGAGTGCTGTTGAGGCTACTGTAGAACTTCTTTGCAAATAGTGTGTTTTAATCAGTTATTTGGTGACGTAATTATATTTAGTATAGTTTTATCTAAAAAGGGAAACTTTTTTAAAGGTTTTACAATTAAATTTTTTATGAAATTCACTGAGGAGGATTGTCCTCCCCTTCCTCTTCTGAGGAGCCTCCACTGGACTATACACTGTAACGTTACTGCATGATTTTAGCGGGTTTACTAACGTGTTAGTTCTATTAGCT